TGTCATTAGTTTTGTCATTATTCACCAAATTTGTAGTCCCCTGTCAACAAAGGCCTAGAATATGTTAACGGCATCACTTGCCGAGATATAACACTGCCCCGATAAAAGAGGTCACCTACAAAATAAATGATTACAGACTCAAATATAAATGACAAATACTTACCTTTCCACAAAATAAATACTTATACACACAACTATCAACAGCCAATGTTACTTTTCCCCAAACTAAGTAAATGCTTGTAGATTCAAGTACAATATGGGAACTAGTAATATAGAGTGCTAGAGAAAAACAGCAATAACAAAAATTGCAATATGAGCTCAGGTAAAAACATTTACTAAAACATTAGGTTTCTAAGTCCCAAAAATTAATTCCCTGGTATCCCCAAGACCCAGTGGATAAAAGTGTTGGTTGAAATATTCCAGTGACTTGAACCAAAGAGTGGGGAGTTCAATACCTGACCAAAGCAGAGTTAAGTTGGGTATGACGTTAAACTACATCTGGCAGCAAGGACTCTGATCAGGAGGTTTTGAGGAGTATGGAACCATCTCTTAATTGTTGTTGTTCCCAGGTCTACCCTGACTCAGAGTGGTAGCACTTGTTGAGGTCCCAGTTCTGGGCGAATCGTGAACCCCGAAACAACACTTTGAAAATATAAAAATATGTTTTTTTAATAACAATACCAGCAATATATTTTTTTAGTGAAAATTACCAACAATACATTTCATCTGTAATTGAAGGCATACAACTGCACTCAAAATATATTTAGTTGAAGCCATAAAATTGTGTTCAAAATATTTAGATTCCAGCATTAAATAACCCATAGAGATGTTGACATGGCACCAAACAAAACCAACCAATGAACAAACATGTATATGCACAAAAGCTGACCAATGATACATTTTATCTGTAATTGAAGGCATACAATTGCGCTCAAAATATATTTTGTTGAAGCCATAAAATTGTGTTCAAAATATTTAGATTTCGGCATTTAATAACTGTCATGGGTCCTTACCTATAACTACAGAATGAACTCTTCCTAACACTATGTATACTATGCCTCTCAAGAGAGAGGGACGAATCGAATCGAGTCGAGCTGATAGTAGTTCACTCCAAACCAGACTGACAGTCATACTAACACCTTCCACATCTTGTATTATTATTTTGTGTAATATACCTTCGTTATTTCTACTCTTGTGTTCGTGTTGTTCTTCCTTGGTCCTAACCTGGACCATAACAATAACCCATAGAGGTTGATATGCCACTAAACAAAATCAACCAACCAACAATACATATTTATAGTAAAATGACCAACAATACATTTTATCTGTAGTTGGAGGCATACAATTGTGCTCAAAATATATTTAGTTGAAGCTATAAAATTGTGTTCAAAATATTTAGATTTCAGTATTAAATAACCCATAGAGGTTGATATACTGTTAAACAAAATCAACCAAACATCTGCTATGCTCTTTGATTTCTTTATTGCTGAATAATAAGGATATATCGTATCCACAATGCCATCATTCATACAGGCTACCTATTGACTGGTTTTGTTTTTTATGGCTTATAAACCTTTTGCAGGTTATTTAAAGCCAGAATATATTTTTGGATTGTAAGAATTTTTTGGAGATAATAATGATTTACTGATACAAGTCCTACTAATTAACCCATAGCTGGGGGAAAAAGTGGATTCATACCTTTCCCAAGTGTATTTGTTCATAAGTCATTATAATAAACCCAACTGGAACTTGACTTTCCAATTCCAAGTCATTTTCTATCTCACCACCAAACCAAGCAAACAGCTTCAAGTATTACCAAGAGGTCACCATCTGGCCAAGCTCAATGTTGCTTAACTTCATTGATCTGATGAGAATTTGTGGCCGTGAGCCATTAGGGGACAACTCCCCAGCTTTATCAACAATGCAAAAGTGGGCAACTGAATTTAGGAGAGGAAGGGAGAGTTTTGAATATGGCCCATGGTCTGGACATTTTACAACTGCCACCATTGAGGAAAACATGGATCATGTTCCCCACATGGCTCGACATTACTTAACTTTGGTGATCATACTATAATCAGCATTTCAACATAATATGACCTTAACTCAGATCACCTATTTTAAAAAGGTTAACTTCTTTCATATACAAAAAATTTAGGGGTGCTGAAAAGTTCTCATTTTGGTCCACTTACCAGAATCTGACCAAATGACCAAACATCAGAATTTATTTTGGAATCCTTACTTGGTCTAACACAAAACTTTTCAGCACCTCCTATGAAATGACCTTTTACTTTCATTAACTACCATCTTACTATGTGCCTCAAAAGGAAGTGTTTCAACAAAAAAACAAGTCTAACTGTAGTTCACAAGTCTGAAATCATGCAATAGTTTTAACAAGTAATAAAATATTGAATCTATTCTTCCGAGTTTAAATCAAGATACTCTCTTCACAATAATCATCACCAATGTTTGTATCATTAAACTAGACATCTTATTGCTACACAGTATGAAATGGACAAAGTCTAACAATTATTTTAATATATTTTATTATTATATGTTATTTATATAGACACAAATATTTAAGTAAATGCTCTGTTTATAATAAACAGTATTGTATAATAAACAGTATCATTTAGATACACTTCAAGCAGATATGAACATTCAAGGGAGATCAGGGAAAATTGTAGTTTAAAATCAGTAAAATCAACCTTGCTAATCAGATGCTTCTCTGTAGCTGAACTGGTATAGCACATAAGGCTATATGACGGTTCCATGTAGGATACAGTTTCTATCCCTGTCGGAGGACACATATTTTCTATGAAAATTTCTCAGACGTTCAGGCCAGTAAATGTTGTTAATACTGTTTATTATAAACGGAGCATTTACTTAAATATTTGTGTCTATATAAATAATGTATAATAATAAAATATATTAAAATACATCTTATTGTTATACATTCTTCACATCAAGCAAAAAGGTTTTGTTCTTTCTCTGGATATCCATCATTCAAAGTGATTTGTCCTTTGGGCTCAAATGACTTCAGAGTTCCCAGTGAGGCTCAATGACAAAACACGAAGGATACAATCTCTCAAGATTACTAGAGCCTCAACCTAACTTCTTCCTTTTTTTCTAAAGCCAGGTCAGTCTTGGTGGTTTGAGAGTTGGATCCCTAAAGAACATTTCCATACTGACACCCAGTACATGCAATCTCTAATTTTAAGAGAATATGTCATTTATTTCATTTTTGGCATCAAAGATACTCTCTTTCATGTGCAAACAATGTAAATTTTTCATGCTATATAAGTACTATATTAAACGACATATTTTTTTCTGTTATATCTGAAGTTATTTTTCTCCAGGCAATGCTGGGTAGTCCTGCTAGTTACAAGAATGAAAGAAAACATGTTGCCTCTTTACTACTTTCTTCTATTTGAATGTCATTTTTTTCCAATCTGACCTCAAGAATTGCTCTTTCAAAGACAAAAATGCTAAAAATAATGTGTGATTACAGCTTTTCTCTATTCTTTTAAGCAATTTAATTGTTATCTTCTGTCTTCTTAATTCCTTTTCTTTTATTGATCTGCTTCCTTAATAGTTGTTTTCTCTTTCTGATATTCTCTCACATGCCTTTTGCATTTTACTGGTTTTATTGCCTTGCTTGGGGTGAAATGATTAAAAAGATAAAACATTAAAATTGCCCACAATTGTCATAAACTTATACCACAATAGCAGCAGGTGACAGGTGATTGGCTGTAGCAGCTATATGTAGTATTAGCAACTGACAAGCACTTTTGAAAACCCACATTTTTAAAAGGAAACTCACTATTCTTTTCTCTTTTCCTTCGACTTGCATAAACTAATGAGAGAAGTTGGTAATAAGAATTACTTTTCTTTCAAAAAATATGTAGACATGTGGACACAGAGGCTGTTGTTAATGAAAGCTGTACCTTTCTTCAAGCAGACTTGTATTATTTTTGTTTTATTTTATGGAATATAGATTTCATGAAATCTTAACTTGTTGTGTATTTGCTTTGCATTGTATATTATTCAAAACATTTTTTGACTAGATAGATACTGTTGGCATCTGCCTACCAAGGTTTTTGTTGCTGAGTGTCGGGATTCCAAACATTTAATAACAATAACACATCTTTTAAATGAAACATATAAAAGTTTATTTTTTCAAGTTGTATGCTTCTTTTTTTTATATCTGTAAGGGAGTTCAAAATAGACGTGTGAACTTTTTGAATACAAGGTTTTTCATTGGTTAAAAATTTCACACTGGCCTGCGAAAATCATTTTCTTGAATTTGCAGGAGTGGTGAAGGGAATTATTATTGTTATTTTCTAAATGGTCCAAAAATAACTCATGGTAGATCTACACTTATGTCTGCAAGTATTTTGGCAGTATTTGACCTTGTAATGATTATTTATCCAACAAACCTTCTGATGGGATTTCAATTGGTTGAAAAATATATATAAAATTTAATTCCTATATCTCCTCAGTAGATATCCATGCCATTTACCATGTCTTTGGTTCTTTTTTCAACTCAGTTTTTAAGTTCAGCTAACTGACTTCACTGCACTCAAAAAATGACCAACTAATTCTTGTTGGATCCTTGTCAGTTTGTTTTAGAATTATGGATGGAATATATCTTGAGAGGAACAGATTATTTAAAATTTCTCATTTTGCTATTTAGACTTGTTCTGTACTTTTTAGCACAACATGACTACAGTCCACAACTTTATTCATGTATACTAATTTGCACCCTGTCAATTTGTTTGACTAATTGAGATATCTGTCTAATCAGTTAACCTTTTGTCTCACCTAATGACGTACAAACTAGACATTGTTATCTATTGTGGTTTATATTACTACTAAAAGTGATAATTTGAAACCTTCTTTCTTTTAAATACTTTGGGGGGAAGAAGGTCTTTTTTTAATTAGTTTTGAGGTATTTTTTTCACTTTGTTTTCTATTTTACTTTTTTTTATTTTTTCTCTTAGAAAATGATTGACACCCTCCAGACCCACATTGTCCAATTCACTAAGCATTTGCAAGTAGTGGAAGCTGAACGCCGCAGCTTGAAAAACCAGCTGGACAAATCTCTTGAGGAAAAGAACCAGCTGCTACCAAACAAGCAAATGGTACTACAACTCCAAGAACAATTGGGTCAGCTGCATGCAAAGGTAGATACTAATTTTAAACAACATAATATGAAATAATAATTAATAATATAAGTATTTAACAATAATTTGTTTGGTTTAATGTTAATTCTATCTGCATAATAATCTTCAAATGTTCCAGTCAGGTGTTACTAAATTGTTATGGCAATCAATTCTTATAGGAAACATTAACTGTGAATAATATGTTCGTGTTTAATGTGTCAAATAATAAGACTTATTTGAACAGGAATAATGATGTGCAGGTAGTGTAGCAGATATTGGTGTGTTAAAGTAGAATTAGCTTACCAAGTTTAAATTCTGTCTGAGTTTCTTGCATTCACTTTTGCACAGATACTCTTTGAAAAGGTATGAATCCATCTCTTCTCTCCACAATAAGGTAGACTGAGCTCTCCAGCCTTGATTGGAAACCAGTCTAAGAAGAATCTGAATCCAAAACTGGTTGGCTGCAAGGCTAATTATTCCATCCCATAAAAACCTACATGTTACAGAAACCACAACAGAAAAAACCTAGTGTGGTCAGGCTGTGGCCCTTTGCTCCACATTGGCATTTAAGGAAGCCAAGGGAAGAACAACAATGACATCCAAGTGAAGATGTTGCAGCTCCAAATGGAGCTGATATAATAAAGATATCTGAGAATGGCCAAACAGATAACGTCTTGTTCCCTAATTTAGTTTATTTCTCATGATATATGAACCATTATTAATTGATATGCTATTTTCTATCCAGTTTATGATTTTTTTTTTAAAGATTTCTCCGTAAGCTGAAATACTGTAGTAAAAACAATTTAGATTGGTAACTTTACATGTGACAAATGAAAGCCATGTCAAATACTTAGTCATTGACAATCTAGGAACAGAACTGTGTATTTTAATTTAATTTTAAACCTTATGGATATCTTTCACACTCTTGTGGTGCAGCAGGAAGCTTCTTGATTCAGGCCTTTAAAAAATATCAAACTACTTCTCCTGAGTAACTCAACCAGGAGTGGTCACTACCTGGTCAGCTACCTGGCTTCTCTTATTTGAATTTAAAGAATTTGGCTTGTGCTCATATTGGTTTGAGCCTTTTTGGAATAATGAAAATAGGTTTTACAGTCACTGCTGTCTCTGTTTGTCTATTTAGTAGCGTTGAATTTTTCCCACTTCGCAGAGAAGTTATCCTGTTATTTTCCTTATTTATTTGTTGATTCTAATAATATATATATATATATATATATATATATATATATATATATATATATATATATAAAAAATTAGGAGATCAGTTGATTCCATTACCTCACAGTATCCTCAGGTGATTTGTATCAATTGACTTCCCAGCACTTTATTTTTTTAAAATTAGTGAATTCTACATTATTTTTTTAAAAAATAATGCAAAGCAAACACACAACATTGGGTGTGATAGAAAATAATTTTTTTTTTTAAAATAATATATCGTTCATAATTTTTTAAAAAATAAACTGTTAGGAGATCAATTGATGAAAATCACTTGAGATCTTTATTTAACCTACAGAGTAAACTGTTCTTGTTTCGCTGCTCATTTTTTGGGGGGTGGGGTGGGGGATATCATTTAGTTTTTATTGCTTGCCCATTTCCACCAAGTGTAAGTACATACTGCCTGAACCAGGGATTGAACTCACAAGCACTGTCACTAAATTCACAAACCAAAGCTTTTATCTACTAGGACAATTTTCTGTAGTGAACTCAGAGCCTTAAACCTAGCCTAGCTCCTTATTAGATTACAACTGCTGCTGCCCATGTTTTGACTGCTGCTGAAGACTTACTGTCATTTTCCTTTCTTTCTTTATTAACATTCCCATATTGTATTTATTTCTATGCTAGGCCTACTAAGGAGATCGTCATAGCCTAGCATATGTGCCAATTCTTTCAGATGTCTAACTCTCCAGCGTTCTTCCTTGTCCAGTATTTTCAATTCATTCCACAATGGCTGATGACAAACCTTTTCCTTCTATACATGATCAGCCATGTCCAATTTCATTGTCTCACCTCTCACTATAGCCTTTCGATATTCCTCCAGCCTTACTTTGGTTTGTGAATTTGGTGATATAGTGTTTGTGTGTTCAGTCCCTGGGTCGAGCAGTGTCTATTTGCACTCAGTGGAAATTGGTGAGCACTAACTGAACAGTACTAAATAAAATAAAAACTAAATGATATTCCTAGACATGAGCAGTGGAAGAAGAACAGTCCACCCATGTAGATTAAATAAAAGGTTCAGTTCAGAATTCCCTGTAAGTTACCCAGATTGATATAAACCTGAGGATGGCCAGAGGGCAAAACGCCAAAACATAGTGATAAGAACAGCAAAGATGATGAAAATAGCCCAAATATAAATAGTGTAAATAAAGAGCAAGAGAGAGAGAGTCATAACTTTAGAGTTATTTGCATATAATGATATTGTTCCCCCCAAAAAATGTTACTTGGGATGTCAGTCTTTATGCAATTGCTATAAAAACTGATTTTAAACAACGAGGCTCTATTAACACCTTAAATAGAGACCCTCTTTACTTTCACATTCTTCGGTATGAAATTGCCTCCATGAAAAAATATGTAAAAATCCACATAGCTAAGGCATGGATCACCCTAAATTGGATGTCATGAGCAAACCTACCAAACGATCTTAAATGCAGTTTTTTTTCATGCCATTATGTATGATGCTACAGCATAAATTCTAAGACCCTAGAATCAAAGCTGGATTGGATGTACCCATGCATGCTTAGAGCTGTATTAAACATCTCAAGAAAATAAAAATCCCAGAAAGAACAAATTATATGATGGACTATCAACTATATCAGAAATAAGTTGCCAACAGCAAATGCACTTTGATGGATGCTTGCTAACACGCTAAACCTAACTAGTGACTTCATATAATGACTTTATAATTTTGAATTAAATATGTAGTTTTAATAAAAATTGAAAGTAATATGCTAAAAAGTATAGGCAGTGCACTAATTTCTAAGTCATTCATACTAAATTTACATGTAGGTTCATGCAGCAGATTGCCTTAACAAAACTACTTCTATTACGATGTGGGACATTTAAAAACCATAACGATTAAAAGCAGAAGTGGTAAGAGGTGGAACAAGGTCAACTAGGTTGATTTTCTACACACATTAGACACAAGAAATTTAAAATTTAAATTTCAATGCATAATTATAACTGGTGTTTGTTTGCATTTTCTTTTCCACCTCCTACATATATGGTCCCATCAATAAAACAAATTCAATGTTTTCAAACACTGAAATGCATCACATAGGCTTTTTCCCATTTTGTCATTCATTTACCCACCATTAATCTGATATATAGAGTTTATATATCAATCTTCCAGATCAAGGGATAACAAATTTCTTCTTTTTTTTTTCCTTCTTAGTTAAATTTTTCGCTTCTTATCCCCTACCATCAGTCTAGTGCTAAATTGATTGATATTACTGTAAATAAATCACTCATACTCACATATACAGTGATAAGATCAAATTTCAAACCTTTATTGTCCTGTTGTGGTTTTAGTTGCTATTATTGATTTCTGAATATCTGACATGTGAAAATAGGTATGTGTACATGCACATATCTATGTAAAGGTTTCTTGTTTAGATGACAATTTTATTTCTAGCAGGATATATGGAAATTCCACTGTGGATCTGGTCATTTCACGAATAGAATTTAATATTACTTTTATGATTTAATAACACCAAGATAAAAGTGTTTTTACAGCTTTAAATAATACATTCAACATTATCACTGTGTGTGATTATAAAAGTTGTAGTTGCATAGCTGAGCACCTGACACATTCTTACCACACCCAGTCCATACACTTTCCCCATCTTTTGAACAGGAGTAGAAGTTTATCCCTTGTTAACCAGTTTAGGATTGGGTTTCCAGTTCCTTGTACTAAAGTCTTCTCATTCTCTTTCATTCCCAGTAAGCATTTGCATCTTAGTGACATTATTGCCTTGCTGGGAGGTGTAATGATTAAAAAAACCCAAGAGGTGTTCATTCATACATAGTGTGTCTTGAGTAAGTAGACTTTGGAGAACGAAACAATCTTCAGATCAAACCACAGCCAATATGTTCCAACTCAAAGGCTCACCTTCTTATCAGACATGGCTGTCGATTGGTAGAACCCGCTGCCCTGGCTATTGGAAGCTCTCTACCTAACAATTTTCAAGCCAGCTTGTCAGGGGAAAAATACAAACCTTTTACCAGAATAGCAAAAACTATGAGGCTTTTCATAAGAGTGCTCATTAATATTATTTTAACATCTGTGCCATTGGGTGGTTACTTTTTCCTGGGCATATGTGGTTTGTATATACATTATGCATTTAAGCAAACTACCCTTGGTATTTTAGGTCAACTGGGGAGGAATCTATTAGCCTGTGAAACCAGAAGCCTGTCAGTGGCTTGATGATTATACACATGATGTATATGAAAATATAGTCATCAGCTGACCATTAGCTTAAACCCATTTTGGGGTAATATTCAAGCTCTGCCATTAAGCATTGAGTATTATTCATCATGTTACTGCATTAGGAATAATTTATTTTATTTGGTGTGTATGTGTGTGCACGTATATATATATATATATATATATATATATATATATATATATATATACACACACACACACACACACACACATACACACACACTGGGGAAAGCAAAAGAGTAGGTATGCAGTAATTAAAATTATATATTAAGTACACAATAAAATCCAAAATTACCTCACATGGGGAATAGGCTTATTTCAACTGGCGAAAACTTTGTCAGTCTTATTCAACCTTGGTATAGACTGAGTTTGTGTTGAAATTAAAAATTTAACTGTCAAATTAAATTAAGTTAAATTTCTAATTCTGACATGAACTCAGTCTATACCGGGGTTGAATAAGACGATGAAGTATATGTCAGTTGAAATAAACCTATTCTTCATATGAGGTAATTTTGGATTTTATTGCGTACTGATTATTTGCTCTGTAATAAAAAATGCATTGAGTTCTTTTTGTGGATCAATTTTAATATTTTATATCACTAAGATCCACTTCGATTATATATCAACAGATTTATTACCTTTAATATATATATATATATATATATATATATATATAATAACATAGAATAGAAATCCAAATTTACCTCATTCAAATAGCTATTTCAACCAATAAGTCCTATGTTGGCATTTTCAATTCAGATATATATGAACATTGAAGTCAACACCCAGAGGCAAAAATCTGTTTCATGCTTGAACACAATCTTCAGGGCATGTATGTTGCATTTTGGTTCCCCTATTTATATATGCTAGTTAGTGGTGCATTATGGGTAATAAAGTATATTGTATTATCCTGACCATTATTGGGGGCGGGGATTGTGGTAACAGTTATATTTCAAATTATTCTAGAGGCTATTAAGTAGAAATAATTGTGGTTATTTGTAGCTATTTTCTAGTGTTGTTGTTAACCTTTTTTACTCATTATTTGTTGTTAATTACTTTATTATTTGTTATTGATTATTATGATTACATATTACTTGTGTTTATGGGTGCATTCCTAGTTTCTTAACCTGTTTATTATATACCTGGGCTTACGGCTATATCATGTTGAAACATCACTTCCCATACACTCACAAAAGTTAAGCAACATCGAGCTTGGTCAGTACCTAGATGGGTGACCATTTGGGAATGCCAGGTATTTTAAGCTTTGATGGCTCAGAATTGTTAAAAAAATTCTTAAAACCTAAAAATATTTTCTGGCTTTAAATAACCTAGTATAGTTGATAAGCAATAGAAAATGAATCAGTCAATTATTATTTACTTAATTTGTTTATTTTAAGACATTTTTATGTTTATACATTCTTTTTATAGATACAAATATTTAAGTAAATGCTCTGTTTTTATAATAAACAGTATTAATAACATTTACCGGCCTGAATGTCCGAGAAATTTTCATAGAAAATATTTGTCCTCTGACAGGAATTTGTCCATTTCATAATGTGTGATGTCATTAATTTGTTTACTTATTTATTGATTTGGATTTTTTTGTTTATTTTATATATTTATTGAATTTATGTTTTTCATATTCGTTTTTAGTTTTCAATTTTTAAGTAACGTAGTAAAATTTTGTTTCCATGTTTAAAAATATGAGGGACTCCTGATGATATTAAATTGAAAATGGTGTTGACATGTTATAAATTCTTATTCAGATTATTTCCTTTGTCCTTTAAAAGCAACAGAAGCAGGTTCCAATAGAGAAGTTTGAGAAATTGGTACAGGAACTAAAGATGGCAGTAGTGCGTGAGAAACAGGCTGACAAACTCTTGAATGAACAGGCAGGACAATTAAATAAACTGACCTCACAACTGGAGATTCATGTGGCAGGTGGTACGCAGAAGGAACGTACACTTTCAGAAACTATAAAGGTAAATTAATTTTGTTACTATCTCACGTAGAATGTTTTCTTTTTTATATCAAACTCTAAAATTATACCTGGTTGGTAGTATTATGTTTATGATGGCCCTCTCATTAGTTAATGAAAGGAAATGTAGTCCTCACTGAGTGTACAAGTAGAGGAGTTTTTGTTTTAAATGTTATGGTGATTTTCTAGGAGGTACAGTGGAGTTATGGATAGCAGCTCAGATTGAGGAATTGGAGTTCCATTTCAACTCAGCTCTTCAATTCCTCAATCGATACCCTTGGGAAAAGTATGAATCCTCTTCTCTCCCTACCTATGGGTAAATAGCAAGACAGACCTGGTTCTACAGTCTTGAATGGCAACTGGTCTACCACAGAAAGAAATGGCAACCTACTGTGAAAAAAAATCTGCTTTGTCAGTCATGTATCAAAAGATATACGCATGGTACATAACTGACTGATTTTCTAAGCATAGCTTAGATGTGGCATAAGGCCAAAAGTATGAAGCACCCAGTGAAAATCGAACTCACTACTCAGTCATAATTAATCTAGCAAGACAAGCTTGCTAACCATTATCCCACATCAAGTTGTAAATATTATGAGCTAGTGTGTCCAGAGACTTGAACCTCTGTGTTGTTTCTGTGTGAAAAGAATCTTTTTTTTTTTTTTTACCAGTGTTGTGTGTGGGATAGACCTGATATTTCCTGATTATGCACTTGAGTTTTTGAGAAAATTGAAAGAAAAAGAAAAATTTGCCTTTTTTATTTTTATTGACAGTATTGCGTTTGTATAGAAGATATTTTTGATCTGCCTTTCTGTGGAAATTAAATATTTCCTCTTTCACACTGTTGCTTTAACTATTGGTACCATATTGTATCAAATTGAATGTATATGCAACATTAATACACATTGTCATTGGTCCAAATACATATTGGAATGTATGCCTAAGATTAAGACAAAAACTGCTTCACTAAAAATGAAGTAAGCTAATTTCTAATTGCTGATATTATTTTAGGATTAAATAAGAAAGGTATTTTGCACATGGAATCTGACAATCCATATTGATTTTTGAATAGAAGAGAAGTGAACAAATGACACTTAAAAGCAAAGATGGAAACCAATTATTCAAATACATTGAGAAATATTGTATTTGAATCAAAAATCAAAGAATGCCAATAAACCATACAAATGCTAAAATAGGAATTTAACAATATACAATTGCAACAAAGTGAAAATGTTTACAGTTTACTCAAAATTAAGCATACAGGTAAATATGATGAGATAGTTTGAAAGATAAAGGAGAAATATATTCAACAAAATTTCTGATAATATAGAAATGTCTCTCTCTCTCTCTCTACATTCATCTGTGAATATTTTTATGTTTAGTGATTTCATGCTCATCACATCAAGTGACTTAATCATTCTAATGTTACTGATGTTGCCAGTAGTGAGCCTCAATTTTTCTCTTGCTCAGTCTCTCAAAATGACTGGGTATTGAAGAACAAATCACCAAAAATCTAGAAATACAGCAAATAAAATATATCCAATGCAACATAAGAAGTATAAAAGCCAACTTGGACGAACCAACACTCCTCATTTCAAATCAACTCCCTGATGTTGTTTGTTTACAGGAAACTTTCCTGAAAGAAAATGACACAATAAGCATTAAAAATTACACCTTATATAACCACATAAACAAACAGGTTGATAAAGCCTCAGACGGTACAACTATAATCATTAATAACAAAATAGCACACAAAGAAATAAAAAAAAGTACTACAATACAAAAACAATGAAAGAACTATTTGAACACACCAAGATAGATCATTTAATGACATATTTAAAGAAAATAGGACTATACAACAAAATCTAATTAAAATAAAAATGTGTACAACCAATCTAATGCATACAACCATTCTAACATGTGCACCAACTTCAAAACAAATAAACTACATTAAAAAAGTGTGATCCCAAAATTCAAAAACTGACTCTTAAATGACCATAATGGTTGATGAGTCATTAAACCAAACCAAACCACTATTTATACACCTAGTGGAAAACATATTCATAAATCCAGAGTGTCATGCTCGAACCTCGGTGTCAGTAGTTACTCATTTTCTTCCTATATGACAACTAGATAATATGATCCATTGATATGACCTCCAAAATTTATATGCAGTCTTGACTATGGCATGTCTGTCTTTGGCCAAGGTTCTATCTTTGTAATAGATAGTTTTGCTACTAGAGCTCAATCTCCACATGCTTTCATTATTCTTTTAATATCTTGGTCTATTCCTGTCCAATATACAAAACGTCTTATCAAGAAAAAAGTGAAAATGAAGCCTGGCAGAAAATATACCAACTCTGTCTAGATGCTGTCAAAAAAAAAAGAAAATAAAGTTTTCCTTTTACTTTTTATCATCAATCTAGATTCAAATTGCAATATGTCAAGGCACTCCCAGCACAAGTAATGACTTTTCTTTGCACAGAAACAACACTTCTGTTGACCCAGATTTGAGTCCCCTGAATCATCAGCTCAAAATATTTGCAACAGAAACTCCTCTACTTTATAAATAGTTCTCTACCCTCAGGCCTGTAATAATTGTAACCCCCACTTGCTTATTAATTTTTAATGAGATTTCAGTTTATTCTAATCCCCTCTTTTATTTGAGACAAGAATACACAGTCACAACTATCCTAAATATCTGAGGAAAAATGAATACTATTTAATTATAAAGTTCTTTATGTTGAGAAAAAAAATGTTTGCTTCTGATTTTTTATACAATCTTGTTCACTTAATACAAGGCACAAGAATCACTCAAAAATAATCATTTCACCCCTAACAAGGCAATAAAGCCACTAGAATGCAAGTAGTTACTGAGTGTTAGAGAATATAAGAAAAAAACACTTAAGGAGAGAGAACAATAAATAAACAAGAATTCAGAAGATAATAATTGACATTGTATTTGAATTTTTTAATTTTTTTTAATTTTGGAAGATCAAGTTAAGCCCTGATATAGCAACTTTCTGAAGTGAGTAGTATGAGAAATCCTGTTTGATTGGTTCAATAAGGTCAAATTGAGAGCTGATTTCAAAAATTACCTACAATCTGTTGTTAACTGGGACAAGGAGAGAGCTACAAAAGTTGCTTCATCAATGTACCTTATGTAGATTGCTGGTTTATTAGTTGTTTTAAATATTCCATTTTCAATATGAGATATGTAAAAGTTAGAGAAAGCAGTACCCATAAATTAGGTTTTCCTCTCCGACCTCTCATATCACAAATGCCTACACCTGTATACCAACTATAAAAATCCTCAATCACATATTTCTCTATACACACCCAACAATTACAGCATTGCATCAGCAAATGAATTTCTCCATATCATAAAAGCAACAAATTCCATCAGGAATATTCTAGCTTCACTTGATGTTGAAAATCTTTTTACCAATGTCCCAGTTGAAGAAGCAATCAACATAATTATTAACTGCGTCTACAAAAAACCTTCAATTCCCCCTCCCAAGATTCAGCCAGCAACTCTTCAGAAACTACTCCTCTCCTGTACCATGAAAGCCCCATTTTCTGATCATAATGGCAACACCTACATCCAAACTAATGGTGTCAGTACAGGAAACCCTTTAAGCCCTGCTTTCTATAACTTTTACATGTCTTATATTAAAAACAAAATGTTTAAAACAACTGATAAATCAGAAATCTACACATGGTACGTTGATGATATCTTTGTTTTGATGAAAAATAAGGACAAAATTATAAATCTAAAATCAACTTTTGAAAAAAACTCAACTCATTTACATATGAACTCATGGTTAATAACAAAATCGCATTCCTTGATGTGGATATAGAACTAAAATCCAAAGAATTTACCACTTACCCATATAAAAAACCCACCCGTATGAACTCTTGTCTTCTAAACTATAATAGCCAATTCCCAGAAAGAAATAAAATAGCAGTGATAAAAACTTGTTAAATCATGCACAACAAAATTTCTCTTCTCAAAGAATATTTCTAAGCGAACTAAAACTAATAAAACAAACATTAGTCAACAATAATTTTCCCAACTAAAATTATTCTTACAAAAAATACATGACACTAGTAGTAAAAATACGACACAAGAAAACATCAACATATTTTACTGTAACCAAATGCACAATAATTATAAATAGGACAAATTTGCTATACGAAGAATTATTAAACATCATATATCTGCTGTAATTCCTGAAAATCATGTAAAATTTATAATATATTACAAGAAATGGAAGATCGCAAACCTTGTGATAACTAATCAAAATAACCCAATCAAATCTAAACTAACGATGACCAATGTAGTGTATCAATTTCAATAGCCGAGACTGGAGACTGTTTCTTGTCACAAATCGAATAACTCTATCAGACACACAAACACCTCCTTGAGTAGACACCTTAAGTGTCACTTATCTGACCATAGTGCCATAAGGACACTTAAGGAAAATTCTGGTTGAAAATACAAAAATTCTATATAAATCACATTATCAGAAACATCTTGCTATTCGAGAGGCACTATATATATCAAACAATTCTCTCCTACCTTCAACTTTACATTATTTAATAGGGGAAATGGAGTGTTGAAAATTTAAAAAAAAATAAAAAATAGAAAGATGTTTATGCAAATCCCAGTTGGGTGTTAGAACTTGGAATGAATGCTCCTTTTCCAAAAACAACACAGACCTAATTTACAACATAACAATCAAAACATGATGAAAAAATAACAGCCTCAGAGACAAAACACCCTTGAAAATGGCTATAGAAGTAACTGAAAGCGCTTGGGACAATAAAAATTATGGACAATTTTTATATTTTTAACTCCTACAAAACAGAAAAATGTTAGGATGCTGGAAAAGCTTAATAAAAAACTAATTCAATCTTCCCTGTGGACTGAATTCAGTAAAAGATGTTTGAAAGAATGTTTGATTTTGCTGCAAAAATATACATTAATATATATATATATATACATACACACATAAAGTGTGATTCATTTCCTAAATATCCCTGTGTAAGTTTACTTATCTTAGCTACTGTTACCTTCAAAAACAGTCTTTATGAATCTGTTCCATTTTGAGCACTGTACTCTGTTTTGTACTCTGTTTATATTTGCATCTGTTCTGTGTGTTTTGAACTGCATATCTTCCTGCGCTTTCTTGAACTGCCAATGCCACTCAAAAACACTTAATTTCTTCATAACATGTTCACCAGAATATATTTTTAATTGGACTGACATTACAATTGCACTTTTTACCAATCTTCACACAAAACCTGATGTGATTCCATTGTTCCAGATGCCTTTCACTAATTTTTCACCTCTAGTATAACATTAAAATATTCAATGTCCTCTGCTATACAGCAATGAATGAATCAGTCTGAGTCTTTGGGATGAGGAGTTATCATTATTTACATTATTTGCATTCAGACTATTTTCCTCATTTTTGGTGTTCTTATCACAACATTCCGTCCATTGTTCACTCTCTCAGGTGCTTGTTGATCCAGGTATATTTAACTGAACATCTAGTTTTATTGTTTATTTACTATAGCAGAAGCCTAGTGGATTTGCTTCCTGACTTTGGTGATATAGTCATTCTGAACTCAATCCATGGACCTGGCAGTGTGTACTTGGATTCAATGTAAATGGTGAAAGCAATTACTAACCTGTACTAAAAATTAAAAAAAAAAAAAAAGCAGATATCCCTAGACATGGTCAACAGGACAAGAACAATCTACTTCTGTAGATTAAATAAAGAATTCAGTTCAAAATTTCCTAAAGGTTGGACAGGTCGACAAGCACCTGATAAAAATTGCAATGGTAAGGACAATAGCCTGCATGTGAGTAATTAATGTCTCAAGAAAGTGAGAGTCTGGAAATGCTCAAATACAAATGGTTGCCTCATTCTTTACCCCATCAATATGCTGCAGTCATTCCTGAATTAAATTGTCACGCTTCACACACACACGCACACATATATATAAAAATTATATTAATATATCTTAATATTCTAAACTGTGTAAGTCAAGGTAAACTATGGAGAACGCAATGTGATGTAATGTAATACCTAATAAATGAAAATGAGTTAATGTTTTTTGTCTGAATTATTCACACTATTTATATTCGGTCTATTGTCCTCATTTTTGTTGTTTTCATCACGACATTTTGACTTTTGTGCCCTTCGGCCTTCCTCAGGTATATATCATTCTGGATAACCTACAGCGAATTCCGAATTGAACCCTTTATTTAATCTATGGTGGTAGATTGTTCTTGTTCCACTGTTCATGTCTATGGATATTGTTTAGTTCTTATTTTATTTAGCATTGTTTAGTTATTGCTCACCCATTTCCACTGAGTGCACGTACACACTACCTGACCCAAAGATTGAATTCACAAACACAATGATGAGAACAATAGTCCAAACATAAATAGTGTAAATAATGAGTAAATGTTGTTGAAGTTTTTTCTTATTTGTTTATCTATATTTATTTTTTAATGTAATTATTTTATTTTAAATTATAAATTATTTATCTATTTATTTTAAATAATTAAAGATCTTGAACTAACAATGTTCTTTTAATTTAAAAGTTTTTTTCCTAGATTATTGTTATATATACAGGGTGTATCAAAAATACTGTTACAATCTTTGGGGGTAGATTCCTCATATCAAAACGAAGACAAAAGTCCACATAAAAATATGTCCCAAAATCCTTCCTTTTTGAGTTATTAAGTTTAAAGAAAGTTTACAGTAGATGGTGCTGTGTTGCCATCTAGACTAGATTACATTTGTCATTTGTGGATAGTCTATCTTCAATTTTAACATGTGTAGTAGTGAGTTAACTGAGAAGTGTTCCATTTAACAATGGCAGGATATTCATATCATGAGCAGGCAGATAGGATTTTTACATATGGACGCAAGACTGCACGGCTGTATCAGATTGCATTTCCAGACCAAAAGCAACCGAGTCATCATCTGAACTTTGCTGATGTTTATCGTTGTATTGCTTAGACAGGATCTGTGGCATCACAAACTATGGATTGAGAAAGATTGAAATCTGCTCATACACCTGACCACGAAGAACACATTCTAAATTAACAGTGTCTACCGTAAACTTTAAACTTAATAACTCAAAAATGATGGATTTGTGGACATATGATTATATGGGCTTTTCTCCTTGTTTTGGTGTGAGAAATCCACATCCAAAGTTTGTAAAAGTATTTTGATACAACATATATATATATATATATATGTGTGTGTGTGTGTATATATATATAAATAAAAAGAAAGAACAGTAAGATATATAATCTGGTGTTCTTATAGATATTTTTATTTTATTTTTTTTTTTTTTGGACCTCCCATTTTTGAATTATGGTTAGAACTGTGTAGCAGAAAAACCATATTTTAAATCAATTAATTTATAATATATATATATATATATAATCAGATTTTAAGTTACCTTGACAGTTATTTAGATTAAGTTCATTAGTCCAAATCTCTGAACGCTTTTTATGTATCTTTACAGAGTCTCAATGAATGTCAAATGAACCTGAATAGAAATGAACAAACTGTTTCTGAACTGAAAACTCAGTTGTCTCAATGCCAGACAGAGAAGATATCCCTCCAGCAGAATTTGAAAGATGCAGAAAACACGCTGAGGACAGCATCTAGGTGAGAATTCCAGGAATGTCACATATTTTCTGACTCCTTTAGACAGATGAACTCATTTTTTATTCTATGTGTATGTCTAAAATTTTCTGACCAATCAATTTTAGGGTCCTTTTCATGATCTCTTTTCTCAGTACTTCAAACTAGAAAATTACAGCAAACAAAAAATTCAAAAATTTCACAGTAACACATGAAATACAGGTTATTTCATAATCATTAATACATTCAAAACAGGTTATTTCAAAGTTTCTATATAAGGATGCTATTTTTCTTTCTATGTAAAGAATTCCATTCTATGTCGATCAATGGAAGCTACTTTGTGTTAAAATATACACTACATCTACCTGACAAAGGCTTTGGCTGAACGTTCATTAAGTACAGGGGTGCTGTATACAAACTCACAGGAGCTATAACATAATAAATATTTGGGGGTTTTCAACCAGCATATGCTTTATGTATGCATAGTGATGAGAAGGTTAGTGTTAGGACAGGCTGGGAGTTTTCTAAATCAAGAGAAAGAGCTTGGTCACATCACTTCCCCTAACTGCTAACTCAAAATTTTGAGCAAGTATTTTTACTGTTTCTGTAGTTTTACTTCTGCCAAGTCATTTTTTGGATATATATCTATATAGGTCAAAGGATGCACTCGAGCACTGACATGGTTGCATCCTACAAGAGTATTGCATTGTGTTATCAATCCTCATCAAAGAAAATGAAAACAAAAAGGAAACTTATACTTAACATCAGGAAGAGACAGCTGAAATTTCTAGGACACATAATGAGGAAAGATTGCTTGGAAAATCAGATACTTACATGACAGATTGAAGGCAAGATGGACAGAGGAAAACAATGCATGATCAACTTAGTGAGCTTGGGTAAATGGATGGTCAAACAAAGTTTAGGAGAAATAACAAAAATACAAAATTAAGAGCTATGAGGAAGAAAAAATCTGGGAGAGCCACAATTGCCAACATCCTGAAGGGAAACAGCATATAAAGAACAACAACTTGATTTCAAATTAGAATTATTCAAATATCTTTTATATACTTTTGTATCTTTACAAAATATCATTCAAAGAGAATTTGTAGAAAAGCAACTTTTGGAAGTCAATATTTTTTCCTTAGCCAAATGCAGAGTGCAGAAATATTTTAGAATTTGTTTAACTTCTGAAGATCAAAACAATATCCTGATAATTGCAATTATATAGCATTTATACAAGGCATTATTCTTTTTCCTTTTGTTAATTTCATAATAAGCAACAGAGCTTGTAGTCAGGCAGATTTCTATAAAATCTGCCCAATTACAATGTCTTTGCATTTTTTATTCCACAAAATAAAAAAATGATTATGAAATGGAATTTTAACTGTCCTTGACTTACATTTGGCTTTGTGAAAGAACAATGCCATTTTTGCAATGCTTAAACTTTGTGCACACACAAAAAAAAACAGTGTGTCAAAAGGACAGTTATTCCCTTGACACTGCTATTACTGTATACACTTTTGACTCCTTCAGCTATGTTTATTGTTTTAAAAATTGATGGTTAAAATTTTAAGATAACCCAAACATATGAAAGTAGATTTATTCATTTTCTTTATTCTTGAGAATTGACAGTAAAGATGTTAAACATTATTTATTAGATTCAATAAAAACTTCTCCTAGTCAGTTATAAAATGGTAAATAATATTGCATTGTAGTTGGTTTACATATTTTGATAATTTTGCTATTTTTTTATAAATTTTTTGAATAAAAAGATTTTTCAAATTTATTTTTTTTAAAAACATAAATAACAAATATCACAATGTAATTTGTTCCTGTATTTTTGTAATCTTGTAAATAAACATTGTCAAGGTAGTAAAAAGTATATATAGTAATAGTGGTGTCAAAGGAATAACCGTCCTTTCAACAGGTCATGTTTTTGTGGGCAGGTTAAACAATGCCAAAATTTTTATAAAGCAATTTGGAGAAAACCTTTTCTCAAAGATGTCCTTATTTTTTTTCTTTTCCAGAGATAAAGTTGTTCTCCAGAAATATCTGAAATCTGTCCAAGAAACATTTAATCAAGTATGACTTTTTCATCACACAAATTTGACTAACATCCTTATCTTTCATTAAGAAAATAGTTCTGATTTGACACTAATCCTAAAATGAAGCTAGAAAGTAACAAGTTGCTGCATATTTAATAAGATGACTGATTAAACTTAACTCATGCATATAATCCTCAAAATATGTGTTATGAAGCATTGATTTTATGATTTCTGAACTGCATTATTTTCATTGTGATGCGTGGATAATGTAACAGATTTTGGTGTGGAAAGTGGAACTTGTAGAGAGTGCTAATGGATTTTCTGTCTGAATTTTTGAGGGTGAGGACTTATCATTATTTACAATATTTTCCACCTTACAAGATGCTGAAGCTTGGAAGATACACCCTGATATTGGAAATAAATTTCTAAGAAAAAAGTCATTCTCACACAACAACACATTCACCATGTGTCCCTCACATACTGGTGCCACATATTGTTTACATTAATCACTCATCTGATTTTGTTTGTATGGCAGTGACATATTAGTTAAGAGCAGAAAGGCTTCCGCCACTGCTAGTAAACAGAGCATGTTTAAGCTTGTGGCTCATCTCCAGGAAGGTAAATACTTGTAACAGCTAAGTACTGAGGTTACATTATATAAAAGGCTGAATTAGATAGCTAACATTATACAAATCCACATCCCTATCAGTCAAGCCAATTAGGTGACAATCCAAGCTTACTTGAGACTGGGTGTTGCCTTACATTTGTCTTGGAAGGCACACATGTATTTTTTTAGGAAAAAAATTGCATCTAGTAAGCTGGAAAATACAGTATATTGTTTACATTCAGTTTAATCTTCTCATCTTTGTCATTATCGCAACACTTTGCTCCATGACCATTTTTAGATGTCTGTCAAAGAAGGCTGTTTGAATGTCCTGTCTTTACTTCTTTTCAAATAGTTCTTTTTCTTTTAACCCATTTAACTGGAACTTTTCAATACTATCTCTACTGTTTTCTTTTTTCAATCAGCCTTGAATACTTGTCATCAGTATCCACAATGATATCCTTTTTGAATTATATCTGTATCAATATCACACCGTATTTTGTATTTTCCTTAAATGATGATAAGCAGTCATCAGAGATCATCACTTTCCACATTAGGCTTGACTGCTATCAAGCAATTTTATCATATCCTTTGCCTTGTCTTCCACTCATTGCTTCATGCAATTAATAGCCTATTTGACAGTTACAAGGTTGTAGTTCCATAATCAGAAAAAATAAAAAAATACCAATGAATTCATATTAGTCTTCAAGTCATTGTTTTGATTATTTTAAATCTCTTTAGAAATATTATTAGTTATAACTTTTGTTCCTCTTCCCACTCCCCACTTCCTCAAAGAGTTTAGACTTTTGAATAATTTCATTTTGTTGCTTTTGTACTTACCACAGCATTTCAGCCTCTCTCCATTCTACAGCCTTCTTCAGGTGTACGATCCAAAGGAAAGGTGGAGTTGGGAATGCGCGGTATCTCTTCTTTCCGGATGTGGTAACAAAAAATAGACTGATCAACTCGGCTCATTTTCTATTCATTGTCTGTCTGCTGCCATTTCTCAAAAAATTAGTCCCTTCTTTTTCCTTGTGGATTTTTTGTCTAAAGATGGCTATGGAATGGATTGGCTGAAATGTAGCAACTAAATAAATGGGTTCAATCACCCAAACAACTCTTGAAATAATAAAACAACTATTTGGAAAATGACATGGCATAATTCTTTGCTATTTTCTATGTTAATAAGGCACTACTTAAATACACTGGTCCACTCATAAAACAAACAGGGAAAATTTGGTGGTAAAAAAATTGTTGTAGATTAACATTCTTTCAATCTTCCTTAGGCCATGACACACATGTTAGAATAAAGAAATATTGATTTGGTATTGTTGTATGTAGGATTTAGTTGGACAGACAGACAGACCAATACTCGACTTTATTGCAAGTTTAGTCTGCTCTGCAACTGTTCATCTGGGCCAGTTGGTGAATGGTTTATATAACAGGCTGGGATGTTCCATTATGCTATTTGGGCCAGCCTATTCTCTAGATTCTGATTGGCTGTTGACTTTGGTGTGGATACTGTGCTCAATAAATATCCATCATTAAGCTATGAATGCTTGAGTATGGGATCTATATTGAGTTACACCAACTGGACGCTACTTTGGAACTTCCTTGTGAATATCATATTTTTGATTCTATATCTCCTTCCCTTCTCCATTGTGAAGCCTTTGAGGAGGAATGAGTTACTTACAGCCTGACTGATTACACGGGAGCAACTTGGACAATACCTCGGCAGTTTTCACCAGATGAGTGATGCTGGGTGATGCTAGGTCCTTGGTTGATGTCCTTTCACCTCCTTTGGTTTGTGGGACATGTGTATTGGGTTCATGAGCATCCCTGACCATTAGTTTAGGGGGCTCAGGCAAAGTATTAGGAATAGGGATAGGGATCGTGAGTGCTTCAAGCTTCCCGAACGCTAGTTGGGAACTTCTTTGCAAGGGTGAATATCATATTTTGATTCTACAATTTAGAAACAAGGTCCTGTTTATAACAGATATACAATGTAAAATCAACCCCTGACTTTACAGGAAATAAGCAGTTTTGTTTACAAATGTCACATTTGAAACTGTGCTTACATTATTAATATCTACATAGTTTTTTGTTTAATTTTCAAAATCTTTAAAAGTTGGTTGGTTGTTTTTTAAAACATTGGGGTTTACTAATTATTTATCTTAAATGAAGAATAAATGGATATATATTTTGTTTAATTTTTGCAAATGTTGTGAATATGGATTATCTCCTCTTAGATAATCCAAGCTATAAAAGCTGTATACTTCCGCTGTCAAGTCAGATGAGTAGTAGTATTCTTAATTGAATAAACGATTACTAGACAGAATCTCTTGTCCTGTTTTCATTACATTTTATTCAATTAAGAATGGAACAATTTATGCGACCTGAGCGACTTACCACAGATCCAGAAAGCGATTCAGCCGACAAGTGCTGGAAACATTGGCGGAGACATTTACAAATTTCATCGAGGTTCTACATTCAGAAAGACCGGGACGTCCCATCAATAAGCGTGCGCTCCTAACCAACTACCTGTCTCACACAGTCAACGAAATTATCTCGGATTGCGTTACCTACGAAGAAGCAATCGATGTACTGAACGCTACATACATAAAGCCCCAAAATGAGATATTTTCTAGACACCTACTTGCGACTTGCCGACAAGAATCAGGCCATTGGACCATTTCCTTAAGAGCCTTTGGACACTGAGCAAAGATTGCAACTTCTGTCCAATGACGGCATTAGAGGCCCAAGAGCTACACATTTTGGACGCCTTCATTAACAGCTTACACAATAATCAGATAAGACAACGTCTTCTTGAGAATAAGACCCTTACACTTAGAACAGCTTACGAGCAAGCCTATATCTTCGAAAGTGCTATACAGCAGTCTAGTTCTTATTTACAGCCAGACACCGTGGGCGCCGCGTTAAACCCACCTGTTCTTACTGTCCCCCCTCATGACGATAGTCCGACGAAGCTTCAAGAACAATCGGTCACTGCCACTTTAAAAAAGGACACTTGCTATTTTTGTGGCTTATCTAAACACCTACGAGTCTCATGCCCTGGATGTTCAATTGATAATTGGGAAAATCTCCTTCCTGTCGCATTATACTGCCAGATACTTGTTGTCATAAATGTGGAAAACTTGGTCATTTTTCAAAGGTATGCAAGTCTTCTAAAACTCTATACAAATCCACTCGTCAAAATACTTCTGCAACTTTAGCATTCGAGGCATTCGAGGGACTGAAAAAGGATATTGCGAAATCTGCAATTACAACAATAGACCAAAATATTCCTCTGGTTGTTGAAACGGATGCGTCAGACTGTGCTATTGCTGCTTCTTTGAAACAAGCTGATCGTCCTGTAGCCTTCTTTTCAAGGACCCTCTCACAGGCTGAATGACGACACCCCACAATTGAAAAGGAAGCCTACGCCATAGTCGAGGCATTAAGAAAATGGCGACACTACCTGATCGGACGCCACTTTAAACTTATTACTGACCAGAGATCAGTTGCTTTTATGTTCAACTCTAAAACTACGAGTAAAATAAAGAATGAGAAAATAGCGAGGTGTAGAATTGAGCTATCTTGTTTCTCCTTTGATGTCAGCTACCGACCTGGCAAGGAGAACTTAACAGCTGATACAATGTCAAGAGCATGCTGTACGGCATCAAGCGGGGACGAACTCCGAACGCTACATGACAATTTCTGTCACCCGGGCATTACTCGAATGGTTCATGCTGTGAGGTGTAGAAACTTGCCTTTCTCAGTGGAGGAGGTAAAAAGAATTACAAATTCTTGTCGAACGTGTGCTGAAATAAAGCCTCGCTTTTATAAACCCCAAACTGGCGTTTTAATAAAAGCAACACAACCGTTTGAAAGACTCAATCTTGATTTTAAAGGACCGCTACCAAGTAAAACAAGGAACAGATATATATTAATGGTTATCGAATATTCACGGTTTCCTTTTGCCTTCCCTTGTTCAGACATATCGGCTGCTGCAATTATACAATGCCTCTGCTCACTGTTCGCCATCTTTGGAGCCCCTGCCTATATACATTCGGACCGAGGGGCTTCTTTCATGTCAGAGCAGCTTCGGCAATTTCTACAGGAACGAGGAGTAGCTATAAGCCGGACAACTCCCTACAACTCTAAGGGTAACGGCGAATGCGAAAGATATAACGGCATTATTTGGAAGACCGTTCAATTGGCTGCCTCAAATAATGGATGTTCAATTGATAATTGGGAAAATCTCCTTCCTGTCGCATTATACGCCATTCGTTCCCTATTGTGTACCGCCACAAATGCCACCCCACACGAAAGGTTTCTACCTTTTCAGCGACGGAGTTCGGCGGAAGCTTCGCTTCCATCTTGGCTCTCTCGACCCAGTACTGTGTTTCTGAGACGACATGCACATTACACCAAGAACGATCCCTTGGTGGACAAGGTAGAGCTTATAGAGGCGAACCCTCAGTACACGCTAGTATGACATGCAGATGGTAGAGAGTCTAATGTGTCTCTCAGGGACCTAGCACCGGCCGGAGACGTACCCAGACCGTGGATAGCCCCTGAGGACAGACCAACTACCCCTGACACTGAAGCCCCTCCGGAAGATCATGGCACTGAAATTGTTCCTGACACGCTGTCTGACAACACTGTCTCCGTTGAGGCCCGTCAGACACCGGATGGGCCAACACCTGAAACCCCTGACAGATGAAGGGCTAGCACCGAATAAATGTGTTCATCCAGAGACTGACTCTGACACGGAACGGCCTGCTCCTCTGAGAAGGAAACATTTGAGCAAGGTATTTTAGAGCCCACAGACAGGCTCGCACTGAAGAGCCTCCTGTTCGAAAGTTCCGACCACGAATCATGGACTGCCGAGGCGGCCACTGCGAACTCGTAGGGGAGCCTGGACATTTAAGGGACTTTCTTCCTTATCAGTGAGAAATTTGGTGGGGGAGAATGTTGTGAATATGGATTATCTCCTCTTAGATAATCCAAGCTATAAAAGCTGTATACTTCCGCTGTCAAGTCAGATGAGTAGTAGTATTCTTAATTGAATAAACGATTACTAGACAGAATCTCTTGTCCTGTTTTCATTACAGCAAATTTGAAAATTCACCTTTTTTAATAATAACAATACTTTGGAAATGTTCGAAGGATGTTCTGTTCTTTAATTAAAGATGTAAATATCTGTTCTTTAATGACAAATTTTGTAAAAAAGAAAAAAATAATGAACAAAATCTATTTTGTCAGACAATTCTTATTGCTTGAGATATTTTCTTAAAAGAAATATCATAAAAAATCTTATTTGCAGATATCAATGACGTAGGCAGTTTCAAACAGTCCTGAGAACTGTGCAAAGTTAGTGTATCGCTATTATAGACAAGACCCTGCTTTTAAATCAACAACTATTTGATATTTTCTGATTCAGACAAATGTCATGGCATAAGGAAGGCCTAATGAATGATAATCTAAAAAAATTAGTTAAGAAAAAAATGTTTCCTTATTTTTTTATGAGTGGACCAGCATATTTAAGTAGTAATGGTAATGTTAGCTGTTTTCTTTATAAGAAGATATTTGGTATTCATTGACCAAGCTCAAATTATGCTTTTCTTAACTCCTTTGTCATTGGGCTAGGATCAAAGTGTATTATCTGTTCTCCTTATCTCTAACGGTAATGATATTAATCATTTCTTTTTTATAAAGAATCATTTTTCATTCGTTACAGTCAAGTGCTACTTGAGTTATACTTTTAACTCCCTGGCCATCAGGATGGGATCAAAATGTAGTATCTGATTCTTCATTTCTTATGGTAATATTAACCATTTCCTTATAAGGAAACATTTGGTACTCATTGGCCGAGCAGTTAGTGCTACTTAACATAATTTTCTTCATTCCCTAGTGATCGGACTTTGATCAAAGTGTAGTATCTGTTCTACTTATCTCTTATGGTAATTGTAATATTAGCTGTTTCCTTATAAAGAAACATTTGGCATTCATTGACTGAGCAGTACTACCCTTAATATTTAAAACATGACTTTTATAATTATTCTTCATATATTTATTACTATTATTAATACTTTATTTCTTATTATCCTTAATAATTTTCAAAATAGCCTAGATTAATATTTTTATAAATAGTATAGATTAATATTTTTATTATTGATGTTTTAATCTTATGGCTTACATGTTCTTACTGTTTACAGTTATTGTTTTTGTTCAGATCCAAGAAGAAAATAATGGCACCAAATCCACTGATCCTTGCTCTTCACTGCCACTGTTGCTCAAGGCTGACCATATTCCAACAAACATTGGCAAATCAGGACCCGAGCTCATAGCCTGCCAGGTGTGTATGGCTTCATTTCTTACTGTCCAGAAAATTCTAATCCACGACAAGCTTACAACTGTTGTTAATCTATGTGACGTAAATAAGGTAGAAAGATTGTAATAAATTCAGTATGCTTTATCTCTTATTAACAGAAAAACAAGAACCGGCTCATCACAGGGTAAAACCATATAAAAGTTAAGGTGGAAGGATCAGAATAGAAAGTAGGTTGTGTTAGGTGAATGCTATCAGCTGCATAATTGCTATAATGAAATGATGTTTTCAAGCTTTTAAGAGATGAACAAAAAGGAAATAAAAAAGATGTTATGAAAAGATGACAGCCAGTGAGATGAATACGAAAAACAGAAACAGGAAATTGTTTCTGCCTGAATTTCTGGTACAAGGAGTTTCCAATATTTACATTATTTATAGGCGTCAACCATAGTTGGGATCATAGAGTCAATGCTAATAATCCTTTCCTTAGCTGCATAGTATATGCTTCACCAGGTCTACATACAGTTTTGAATTCAGGGTTTTCCTTCTAGGAGTTCTAGGACCCAGTCTGTCCTGCTATTTACTCATAGCAGGGAGGAGATGAGGATTCATACCTTTCCTAAGGGTATTATTAGCTTGTAAGTCAATAGTTGGAAACATCAAGTCAATGCAAACAATCCTTTCCTTAATGGCATAGTATCTGCTTTGCCAGGGCTAGATACACTGTTTACATGCGGACTATTGTCCTTGTCTTTGTTGTTGTTACCATATTTTGGCTGTTGTGCTCCTTTAAAACAATTGCCAAGTTGATTAAAGCATTGATCCATAAATATGGTGATATAGTAATGGTGAGTTCAATCCCTGGGCCAGGCAGTATGTACTTGAAATCAGTGGAATCAGGGTGAACAATAACTGAACAGTACTAAAAATAAGAACCAGATGAGAAATCATTTGACATGGGCAGTGGAATGAAAACAAACAATAAATATGAGGACGATAATCCAAATGTAAATAGTATAAATAATGTTCTACTCTTGTTTACCAGTTCTCTACATAGTATGTGTTTTTTATATTAAAGTTCAACCAATATAAGGCTCAAAAGCCACCCAAGGTAGAGGGTGACTGTTAAAATGGTTATGATGAATGAAGCAAGATAAAGTGTGAAAGCAGAAGTGTACAATTACTATGTCACCAAATTCATGAATTCCTTTTCATTACCTTTGACTCATCTCTGTCTAACAGAAATATAAACCAGACCACTTTCTTGCCCACCAACAACAGGACTTGTTTTCATAACTTCTGTCTTATCATACATTTGACCCTTAAAAAGAATTTGTTTTCATTTAAATTTACCAATTCATTTTTGTCAGCAAAAATATAACCCAGACCTAGTTCTCTCCTTTTTAATGATATTTGTTTTCTTAAATTCTCAAAGAAGAGATAAAATTATTTCTCAATTCATTTCATAGAGTTGATAGATAAAAAAATAAACTCTTGGTTCATTGTCCTAATGCATAAAGGCAAGAAAACCCTGATGACCCCTTTCACTTCCCATTACCGGGGAAGAAAATGTCTTCCACTCTCAGTATCTTCCAGCTTATACCCACAATATTAACCACTTCATGGCCTCACTGTTACATCACTCTGTTTCCTTTTTGTCATTTACTTGTATATATCATCCAACTCCACCTTACCTAAGGTCTGAGAGGAAAAATTTCAATGAAAATCATGAGCATGCACTTTCATATTTGGGCTCACACCAACCCTTACAAATTAATCATTCAACCAGGGCTTGCAATTACCCTTACTTTTGTTTCAATTGATACACTTTTATCTTTTTCATAGTTTGTTCTTCTTAGTCAATTTTTCTGTTTCCACAATATTGGGTTTTGATTTTCCTTCAACAGATGTCAATACCACTTTCAGTTCTCTTACTGAAGTCAATTTGGATTATTCTTCCTCTGAATTCAATCTGCTTAAGTAAAGAACACTAAATGGTGTCCTTCTCTCGTCCTCATGCACACTAGCCAAAATTTGTGGATTAATTGATTTCTTCTTATGCTTTTTCAGCTTCCATATTACTGCTATTATTACAACAATAGCCATTAAGGATGCTAACATGGCAGACCAATTCATTATGGTCTCTGAATTATCTCTCCAAATTATACTCTCTTCTCCTGCAATAGTCAATTTGTCTTTCAATTAGTTCAGACTAATTTTCTCTACTGATTTTAATAATTTTGGTATTTCCTTTAATGTAACTTCAGGGAATTTCTCTACCACTGGTTCCCATAATTCTGTCCAATTACTCAGACTTGTTTTGATCAATTTCACAAATGAATCTTTCTCTTTGTATTTTCTTTCAGCCTCATAATATGGGGAGAGGGAGATAGATACTCCAAATGTTGAACATCCTAGGGGTAACTCTATCAAAGATAAGGGGGTTCTATCTTTATTGTTCTAGTAGGTTTCCTCTTGCATATTCTGGATAGATAAATCTCTGGATAGCAACAATCCAGACTCCATCAGATATATTGGTAGCTTATGGTAATACTGTATTTTTCAGTATTTCTACTTGACAATTTCTTTATTTCTCTTAAAAAAATTCTCTTTAAATGGGACTTAATCCCCAAAGCATCTTCCCCTATCATCAGTAACATAAAAAATTCAAAAGATATATACACAAATTGATATTTGTCCAACTGCCCTAGTCTTCTCTACGTCATATAAATCTCAAAAGGACTTAAATGATCAAAACCAACAGTTTATTATCTTCTAATAAAGTCCCCAAAGCATTGGCTTTACAACCTTAAATGATGTGGCAACTTGGTTTGTATTTTAACAGTAATTCCTTCAAGTGACTAGTGGTCACTATAGTCAGGGACAAATGTCCCAATGATAATATGCTCTAACAAAATCATCAGGGATTGGCTAGTCTGGCACACATTATTAGTAATTGTCATGGCTTCGGAAATATTAGCTACTTCTTGTCTTAATTCTTGCATATGACTTATTCACCAATTTATACTTGCTGTTTTTCACTAGTTCTAATCTCGTTGCATTTTGTATCAATTCACTCTCCCATGTCACTTGGACTAAAACTCTCTGATTCTTTTCTACTTCTTTCAGCTTCCTCCTTGTAATTTTAAAATCTTCTTCAGACACTGTTCTAAACAGAACACTTAACACCTTCCCAATGATAGGGCCTACTGCTCTTTTTGCTCTTGTCTGTAGCAGTTCAGTTCCCTTTAAATAATTTTTCATATCCTTTTCATTGGAGTCTCCTGCTTCAGGGAGTACAATAATCTGATCTCATGTATAATTCTGTGCTAACTACACTCTGGCCATGGTCAGCTTAAGTAGTTCACTTCCAAATTTATTTAGTAGCGACTTGTATGATTTCAAATCTATCACAAAAATGACTAATCATTTTCATCTCGTTATTATCACTTCACTCATTTTCTTGAAGATCATATTTTGGCTGTGCTTCCAGGCTCCTACAATCATCATCAGTATCAGCCTCTTCATACCATCCATTCCTGCAAGTGTAATAGAATTTCCTTGCTTTATTCTGCTGAAAATCAAGTGCTTGTACAGATATATAGTTATTTAGTATTTTCCTCTTTTGTTTTAAATTATTTTTCAATTCAGCTTATCCCTGCTGTTAATTGACTTTCAGCATAATGAGTGTGCGGTACTTTCAGCAAAGATCAGGTCTCACCAATACCAAAGTCAGAGAAGCATGGGCCCTTGTCAGGCCAACAACAGCACTGATAAGTCTGTCCAGCCTCCATTACGTCCAAACCTTTGTCCTCTCCAATGAATTTTTAGTTATTTTACTGAAATAGATTATTCCAATGAACCCAACACCATCACACAACCAGCTGTACACTTTCCCATGGTGATATGCCAACACTGAATCCATCCATCCCATTCTCCTTACTTGCATTTCTCCCTTTTGGGATTTAGGGCATTTTATCACCCACCTCCTTTGCTTGATAGGTAATTCTGGTTCAACCTCTGACTTTTTCTTCTCTCTTAACTGTTTTGGGAGTTGGGACAAAGATATTTCATCCTCCTCTTCCCCACTTGCTTAACGCCTCTTCCTCTTTTGGAGGTTTCATATTAGAAGCCTGGACTTCATCATCTGAGCCCTCTGCCTCATGCTCATCAGTTGACAGTCTCTCCTTGTTTTTCTCATGTTTTTATCAACTAGCAGTTGATTCATCACCTTCCTTCCTTCCTTCCTTCCTTCCTCATCTGTTTCCATCTCCTCTGGTTCCCCCAGAGTTGTTGTTCTCATCTTTCTCTTCTTGTTTGGTTCAGCTCCTTCCCAACCAACTATCTCTGCCAGTTTTAGATGAGCCCTTTTAACTTTTCCCACCATCTGATCCCAGATTATAAATGATACTGGCCCTGTCTGTAAGATGGTTCCCACCTCTGGTCTAATTTTCCTTCTCTCAAGTGGATTTTGTAGAATACAGGATCTCCAACTCTTAACTCTACCTCATTTCTTTCTTTATTAATTCTTTCATTTCTCTTCTTTTGTGCCTGTCTAATCCTCCTTCTGGCCTGTGTAAATATTCTCATGTTGCTGTTCTATTATTAGCTTATGGTGGTGTATTTTCTGCAAAGCTTTAGTAGGTTATCTACCAGCAAAACCACATCACATCCAAACAGCATATAATATGATGGCATCCTAGATATATACAGAATCACACTGCCAGTATTATCTTTCGCCATTTTGTCTAATATGTCCCCTAAGGTCCTATGAAACCACTCCACTTTTGCATTACCCTGTGGGTGGTACAGGGAGGTAGTCACATGCATTGTACTCATGCTTGCTAATGCTTTCGTCATATCTTATTCACTTTTATCTGTTGTCCATGACCAGCTGCACTGGGGCTCCATATCGAGAAAATATTTCTGTCAGTATCAAATCAGACACTGTTTGAGCTTTCTTATCAGGCATTGCATATGCCTCAGGCCAATTTGTAAGCCAAATCTACAAAGCTCAATGTGTATAT